CACATTTTATGGGAGACTTTAACGATAGTGAGTAATCGCATCAAATTTGAAAGGTTGATCCAAAATTGAACTCAGAAAAGGTAAAATTAGTAACTAGGACGTTTTTATTTATGCACCGTATTTATCCGAAATGTCACCATCAAATTACAATTTATTCCAGTCTTTACAGAATTCTCTTCGTAAAAAGTTACAACTACTTCTAAAACAATTGTAGATTTAATTAATACAAAACAAAATAATAGCAATCTACTTCCTGGGTATGACGATAAACAACATCCGGCAGCAAGATCTCTGACCTCTTAATTGGTATTGTTCCCAGATTCACCTTGACCCGGGGTGGTAGCGCCTTTTAGGGTCTCAACTATGAGCAAATAGTTAACCCCGAAACAGGGATCAAAACACTATGAAAATATAAAAAGTTATTTTATAGTAAAATTACCAGCAATACATTTTTGTAAAAGAAATTACTAATGCTCCCAAGAAAATTAAATTTCTGTATTAAATGACCCATAACGAGTTGATATACCGCTAAACAAACAAACAAACAAATAATCATCTACCATGTATTCAATTGTGAAAGCAGAATAACTATTTTATTACTTTAAAGCTCCCAAGAAAAATAAATTTCGACATTAAATGACCCATAACGAGTTGATATGCCGTTAAACATATAAACATAGAAAATCGCAACCTAAAATCTAATGCCTGAATTTACGCTGTAATTAAGTCACAAGAAATGCGTAAACAAAACTTCTAGGTATTTAAATAAAAGGACATAAAAGGCATCTTTTACAAAACAACACGCTTACTGCGTTAGTTCATCATCGTAATGAATCCGAACCTAATTTTTTATTTAAAGATTACAATTCTAATTAAAAGAGAAAAATAATTTACTAAGGTGAAAATCTGTAGGTTACCCGCTCTTAGTTTCGCCAAGAAGTTGAACTCTCTGCCTTCGGGCGAGGAGGAACCCGAACGAGGCTATGCCGAAGGGCGGAGTCCCTTTCAGGGAGGTAAACCGACCCTGAACCCGTTTATACGGGTTCAAGGCATATTTTTGGCCGAGCCCACAGGCTCGGAGATCCCACGTTAAACCGGCCTTGTGCCGCATGGTGCCCTCGTGGGGGGGTGACTAAATACCGTCCAGCAAGCTATAGCGACGACACCCATCTGGACCTTCTCCCGGGCATGGGATTATCTTTTCCCCTTAATGACACATGTATCACCCACACAATTCCTAATTTTGTGTTCTTTCTTTTGAATTATTACTAGTGTATTTTCTCTCCTTTGTTACTCAGTAAGATAAAAACAAAAATCTAAGACATCGCCTTGTTAAAATATATTCTACTTTTTTCTTTTACCAATAATACATTTTGTAGTGAAATTACTAGCAATACATTAAACAAAAATTACCAACACCACATTTCATCATCTCTGAATTATATATCTAAAAATCATACGCTGGCCCTGACAATATAAAATGAAGTACAAAATATCTGTAGTTGAATCCATAAAATTTGTGTACAAAATATTTAGATTTCGGTATTAAATAACCCATAAATGTGTTGATATGCCGCTAAACAAAAACCAATCAATCAATATACAGATCGATAGGTGCACGCGTTTCAAAAGTAGAAGTAAGTCCCCCATCAGTTAAGTGCCATGCGTGATACACGCTCAGGCGACCATATATCTTTCGATAAATGACTTTTCGATACATTTTTTCCGCAGTAGGTTGCCATTTCTTTCTGTCGTAGACCAGCTTCCATCCAAGGCTATAGAACTCGATCTGTCCTGCTATTTATCCATAGCTGGGGGGGGGGGAGAAGAAGAAGATTCATACCTTTCCCAAGGATATTAGCAGGTAAGTGAATGTAATGATTCGACTGGAATTCGAACTCGGCTCTCAATCCGAGCCACTATCTATTACTCCTATCCTATATTAATACAGGGTATGTCCTCCTTGAGCGTTAATATGGGCCTTGCATACGTGCATCTTCCATAAGTCTTCCACCTGTTGACAGAATACTGCCAAAGTTTTAGGTGGGCTAACTGAATAAGACAGGTATTGTCACAGTATGACCAAATATACTTAATGGGGTTTGGCAATCGTGCAAATCAGGGAAGTTGTTGAACTTCTTGCAGAACATGTTTAGCATGAACGTCTAGAAATGCACACCACCTGCCTGTTGCTAGAATAGCAGTCGCACGTGCTAACTAAACGTTCTGAGTGAGTATATCGCTGTTCAACGTTCCTTCAGCAAGCAGCAAAGACAACAATAATTGAAACTCATGACAACCCATACCATGATAGCAGGGACACTTCGACGTGGGGCAATGGTTAGCTAGTTTGTCTCGCTAGAACAATTTCGATTGAGTAGTGAGTCGATCTTCACTGGGTGCTCCATACTTTCGGCCCTGAGCTACATCTAAGCTACGCTTAGAAAATCAGTGGACACCTCGGCGTGGTGCAATGGTAAGCAAGTTTGTCTTGATAGAATAATTACAACTAAGTAGTGAGTTCGATCCTGACTGGGTGCCCCATGCTTACGGCCTTGTGCAACATCTAAGCAGCGGGCACCTCGGTGTGATGCAATGGTTAGCAGGCTTCTCTTGATAGAAGATACTCACTGATCCTTACTGGGTGCCCCATACTTTCGGCCTTGTGCCACATCTAAGCTACGCTTGTGTCATTGGCTAATACACTTTGGAAAATCGCCCTCCATATGTCTCGGTTACACACACAAACAGATATTACTGACATGAATGGATCTTCAAACATCCAAAGACAAGTCACATGCTTCGTTTTAAGAATTTATTCAACATAAAATCGTAAACGGTATCAATAAAGAAAACCGTTAATATTAAGAGCGTTCCTTGAGTATTCAAATAAGGCGGTGTCAAGCCAAGACAGTCCTAATAATAAAATAGTTCAACTTCACAACACGTAGGCAGATCACGTGGATTTAAGTATACGTGTGTTTTTTGACCATGAGTAAAAGATTAACAAGCTAGCTACGTTTGTGTGTCTGATAAATTCACAAAGGTAAATTAATCGCAAAGTAATTCTATCGTAAGCATGATCGAATAAGAAATAAGCATTTTAGAGAATATATTTAAAAAAATATGTTTATTACATTGGTATAACGCGAAAACTAATATCATTACACAAGCAAAAGGATTGTAGTCAGATTTCATAGCTACCCAATTGTAACAATGAACAGCGTGAAGCACTTCACTCAAATCTTTTTTTATTTTATATGCCGTGTCCTTTCAGAATGTTAAATGAATATATCTAACAGTTTCTTTTTTCTCACTTCTCGATTGTGGGGCACTTTTTCCGGGCTACTTACTTCCCAGTCAACTTTGATCTTCAAAAAGTTAAATAAATTAAAATTTTACATGCAATGTCAATCATTATGTTGTTTTCTTAATCCCTGTTCTTTTATTATTCTCTCTCTTTAAACAGTGTGTTTTTTCTCATATTCTCTCATGCTCTGTACCTTCTTGCGTCTTAGTGGCTTTAGTGTCTTGCTTCGGTGAAATGATTAAAAATGTTGCAATATTTCGGTGCGAATGGCTCATTTTTTCTTCAGTGACTCAAATAGACTGGATAAAATACATGGAAGGAAATGTAATAACAGCGAACCTGTTTTTATTTTCTTAAGAAAGATGCAAGTTGACAGGCGAAAACCGCAAGTGTACTATCGATGTGCCTACGGGGGTACGTTTCAGTTGCATGACTAATTAATGTAATTAGATTTAATTAATATTGGAGCGGATGGTCAACTGTTTATTTCCGTCACTATAGGCGCACCATTTACAACCATGACACTTAACTACATTGTATTTTCAAGTTTCCATTTTTAAACGAGGTTTTTACCAATCTATCAACTCGGCAAGAATTCAAAAGAGTTAAAAGCAAGGGAGGGGTTTCTGGATGTTTCGCCGATAATGAATGGCAAGGTTCGAGCCTGGGTACCCTTTGTAGGAGAAACCATAGTCTCATCTGGGTTACGAGAAAATGAATTGGGCTTTCGAGAAGACCTCAAGAAAAGGGTGTGCATTCTTCAAAATGGTAATTGATCTTTTTGGCTTGTGACGCTGTAGTAGAGCTACCAGACAGTGGATTCTGCTACAAAGGAAACTCATGCTTAGGAATTTTTTCTCCCCGGAATCAATCCTTCAAATCTACAAATCAACCATTCGCCCCTGCATGGAGTACTGCTGCCATATATGGTCTGGAGCCCCTTCTGTTTGCCTCGAGGTTCTTGATAAGATCCAGAGAAGGATATGCAATGCAACTGGCTCTGATCTGGCATCTCGTCTGCAGTCGCTCTCTCACAGACGTGCCGTCGCCTCTCTCTGTCTTTTTTACAAATACTTTCATGGTAATTGCTCCGATGAGCTGCTTTCGCTGTTCCCAGGCTTCATGAATTCAAGCGTCCTACGAGGCTGGCATCCCGCTCTCACCCTTTCACTCCAATAGCTTCACACCTCGCACATCACGCCTGTGGAACTCCCTTCCCTTTTCCTGAATCTCCAACTATTCAAATGTAATGTCAATCGACGTCTCCAGATGCCCTGATCTATCCCCTATCCTTCTCTTCATCCTTACCTCTATCACTCCTCTTTTCTCTCGTTCCAAATCCTATGTAACCCCTTGCGTGCTAGTGGCTTCCAGCCTTGCTTGGGGTGAAATGCTTAAAAAAAAATCCTGCCGAAGAGAACATTCACTTTATTAAGTCTCTCAAATGCACAGACCGATAGACGTAATTCAGAATACTGTGCGTCTACTCAAATATGGGAATCCACAAAATAACGTTTGGAATAGTAGGAAACACATTTATTTAATTTACCATCAGTAACAAGACGTGACTTTTTATCCTGTTTCTTTTTATCAATGTGGAAGTGTTGTGTTATTTGTTGAATCTTTCCACTTTTCCGCGATTGTCCAGTGCGTTCTATTGTTCATCCCTATTGATGTGTGCGGTTTTCACTTACGGCCACATCACGTTGAAATACCGGCTCTGTATGATCACCGAAGTTAAGAAACATCAAGCTTGGTCAGTACCTAAATGGGTGACCGCCTGGGAAAACCACGTGCTGTAAGCTTGGATGTGCAGGTGGTGTAATGGATAATGACTCGGAATTGTTAATCGGAGAGCTACGTTCCAATCTCCGTTGGGTTCGATATATTCACTAACGCGCAAATACTCTTGGGAAATGTATGAATCCACTTCTTCTCCCCCCCAGCTATGGGCTAATTAGTAAGACTTGTATAACTATACCATTATTACCTCAAAAAATTCTTACAATCTAAAGATATTTTCTGGTTTAAATAACCTGCAATGGGTTGATAAACCGTAGAAAATGAATCAGTCAATTCACAGCATGTTATGCACTTTATTTATTGGATTCTTAACTGGAATTAAATCAGAACAAATTATATAAATATATATAAAGGTAGTCGAAAGAGAATGACTTTTTAAGTTAGTACCGAATTAGTGAAATGAATAATGAAAAAGGTAAATCAGTTCCGGATTAGTGAAGGATCTGGAGTACAGGCATCCAGAAATGAATGCAAAATGTACGTCAGCTGCGGATTTGTGAATTAACCGGATTACATTTAGTAGTACATGAATGAAAATTTTAAATCAGTGCCGGATTAGTGATGAAACTCTATTACAAGGAGCCAGAATTGAATGAAAACGTCTAGGTCAGTTCCGGATTAGTGAATTAACTGGGTAACATGTAGCAGGATAAGAATGAAAAGTTTAAATCACTACCGGATTAGTGAAGGAGCTGGATTAAAGTTAACTGGACGAGAAAGAAGAGTTTAAAATATATACCGGATTAGTGAGGGTATCCAATTATAGATGAGTGTAGATGAGTTTAATTTGTGGAGGAACCGGATTACAGGTTGTCAGAAAAGAATACAATTATTTAACTCGGTCTCGAATTAGCAAATGAGCCGCGTCATATGTAGCCGGGTGAATATTGAAATTTGATTTGAAGTTAGTGCAGAATTAGCAAAGGCTCTGGATGGCATAACTGATTACTGAATATGCATTCTCGGCGTTTTTCATATTTGCCCACGGACAAGCAGACGGATAAAGATGCATTACCATTCACACACACACACACACACACACACACACACACACACACACACACACACACACACACACACACTTAAAGCAATGTAAAGAAAGAAAGAAAGAAAGAAAGAAAGAAAGAAAGAAAGATGCTATCATATCCTTGTATACTTGAGGCTTTCTGTCAAGTGTTCCCACCGGAGTGACAAAGCTTCTCACATAAGAATCTATCTGGAGATTAATTACTTCATCCGGGCATATTTTTTTATGTTGGCACACTCTGTTTGGGAAGGTGGACGAGGGAGAAGAAACTGATACCCGACCTGACTTTTCTTTGCGAAGTGTGTGAACACCAGACCGTCGTAACTCGTCGACGGATTCATGACCCACTTTCTTAATATGGCGTTAACAGTAGACCACGGCATATATAACAAACCATTGACTAGATTTATATAGTCCTTACCGTTCCTTCAGAAGTCTTTATAAAAACAGCTTAATAGTGGGCATATTTTTTTTTCTAGATTTTGAAAACAAATTAAAGGCAATAAAATCGAAAAGCGCCAAATTGACAGCGATGCGATTTGAATTTACCTGGAAGTAAATTTAAAGAATAAATAGTAAGAGAAAAATGAAGGTTAATTTTATAAGCGTTTGCGAAAAGAAAGGCAAACATCGAAAGAGAGAAAGAAAAAGAGGAAATGAGAAAAAAAAAAAAAAAAAAGAAAGAATAAGAAAGTTTAAAGAAGAAGAGAGGGAGAATGGAAAATGAACAGGAAAGAAATTACACACATACATACACACACATACATATATATATATAGTTAGTGTATTGGGGCAGTAGATCATTATTCAAACATATATTGGTAAATATAGCAGACAATGGACGCCTATTATGTTTGGTCATGAGCCATTCTAAACTTCGTATGGTTGCTTTAATTTCGTGAGATTTCTTTAATGGTGAACATCTATGTTGTAATGTCCATATAACCACTCTGATGATGGCTCATGTGAGCCGAAAGCTTAGAGCATAATAAAAAATATCCAAATGTTGGACAGTTTTTGTTTTTATTTTCTTCCGAAATTAAAGCAACTATACGAAGCTTAGAACATAATCAAACATAATAGACATTTCGTTGTCTGTTATATTCAACAATATATGTTTGAAAATAACAATTGTAACGTTTATTATTACTTAACGTGTTACCCGGCGTTCCTTTTTTAAACTTTAAGCTTGTCTTTTTTTTCCTTCTTTTACAATAGCCTGCGCTCTACATTCTGTATTTACACCCCAAGGATATATAAGTTTATATTAAATTTGAGCTTTCAATCTGCGTTTAACTTAATGTCCCTCCCATGAGACCCAGTGTTTCTTTTAAAATAATAATTTGTGCCTGATGAGTTGGTAGAATAACGAAACTTTAAGTTGCACTTCGAACGTAGGTATATGTACACACACACACACATATATATATATATATATATATATATATATATATATATATATATATATATATATTAATAAATATACATATTATTCTTCATAGGTAGCACAACTCAGAATTTCATGCACAACGTAATTATTAAAAGTGAAATTATATAACGGTCAGTCTCTACTCAGCATCATCATTTCGCCCCAAGAAAGGCGGGAATGCCACTAGTAGGTGGGTGGTTACAGAAAGTGAAGGTGGGTGAAAAGACTGGGTATACATGGAACTGAAGAAAGGCTAAAAACAACAGAAGATGGCGATTGACATTGCATTTAAATTTTTGAAGATTGTATTTATCAGAGAAAGAGAGTTTGACATTGCATTTAAATTTTTGAAGATTGTATTCATCATGAAAGGGAGTTCCACAGGTGGGGAATGCGAGAAAAGAAACTGTTGGAGTAGAAGTAGTGGTTACAATTCAACACTAAAAGGGTGGGACCTAGATGCCAATCTAGTAGGTAGCTTAAACTCATGTAGCCCGGGCACCAGGGGAAAAAACTCATCAAGGCAGTAGTCATGAAAATATTTCTAGAAGTCAGGATCCATTACAGAAGAGAAGAGTAGGAGGAGACCCAGACCAAATATGACAATAGTATTAAATAATATGTATACTTATTAATATATACTATATATAGCTCTGTTATATTATATCGAGCACTATTAACACCAGCACTCAATGTGCGATATTTTATATTCATATATATGTCTATCAAGCAGGGTGCCACTAAATAAAGGGGTGCTAAGCCAGAGGTTAAAAGTGTTGGGGGGGGGAGGTTAAAGGCTAAGTTTTAGATTCTTATATTTTCTATAGTTTTACATTTCTATATTTTGTGTCTTATTCTCTCATAAAATGAACTTTTTTTTAAAGCTATATACTTACTGAAAACTTCTTGTTTTGATTTTAAATACATCATTTAAATTTTTTTTTTATTTTAATTTATTCATTTATTTATTTATGTTTACGCTTGTACTGATTTTCTGGAACGATATCTATAAACTTTTTCCGCATATAGGACTTACATAAAAGTTTTGGAAGCTAATGATTCGGAAAAAAAAACCGGAAAATTAAGTTTTCCAATTTGTTTTTAAAATTAATGGCAGTAATGATTAGAGAGAAATAATACAGCTCAACTCAATAGAATTGTTTTAGATTGATGTCAGGAAGACCAATTTAGTCTTCCGTTTACTTTCAGCAATAAGTAGGGAATGGAGCTGAAGTCTCCCACCAGCCTACCCCCCATATAGCGCTGTGGATGATGATAATAAATGAATAAGAATCATCCTCATTTCAAGAGATGATTGAACGATTTTGAATTAATTCTTGTCTTTCGTTACGCTTGGTACAATTTAAGAAAACAACGAAACGTTGCAACCTAAAAATTGTGATGGTGATGATAAAAGCAATATGAAGAATGAGATTCGTCGTTCGAACAACTTTTGATATGAATAACAAAATAATTAGATAGCAATTGAAAGAAGGGTCTGTAATATAATGTAATCAACCCTGATCAATCATCTCGAACTAAGTCACTTTCTCGCCGACGTGACATGACCTCCCTCTGTCTTTTCTACAAATATTTCCATAGCAATTGTTCTGATGAGTTTTTTCTCCTTAATGCATTGAATGCATACATTTAAGCGTGCTACTTTTTTTACAACTAAGTTTTACCGTTCTACTGTTGAACCAGTTACATAAAACCGTAAGTTCTATTCGTTATTTATTTTCTCGCACTTCTCGCCTGTGGAACTCTCTTCTGATTTTTTTCTTCTGTTGAGCGAGGACTTATTTTCTTTAATCATTTCGCCACAAGCAAGACAATAAAGCCACTAAGACGCAAGGAGGTTACTAAGTATTAGAGAACATGAGAAAAATGATACACTATTAACCCTTTGAACCCAGCGTTTCTGAACAATTTTAACCCTTGTGCCTGAGTTTCTGGGTCAAAATTTGCAAATAATTGGTATGTAATGTATCACGGTATATATAAAAATAGTTACAAGTGTTTACCCATTGTTCAACCGGTGGCTGGGTATTACGTCATTTTTCTCTACCACCGGTAAAGCGGTGCTCAGGGCTCAAAAGGTTAAGCAGAGAGAACAATAAAAGAACCAGAATTCTGAAGAGAGAAGATAACAATTTGATAAAATTACATTTAAATTTTTGAGGATCAAATTTGACTGGAAAGCAAGATGCCGGAAACAGTTCCACAAACGAGAAGTGCGAGAGAATAAACTGTTAGCATAGAAGTTACGGTTACATCTCGCCATTTCAAGTGTAAAATGTTAAGACCTTGCCGCCAATATTGTACTGCGATTAAATTCGTCAAGTCTAGATACGAAAGCTCATCAGAACAATTACCATGAAAATGTTTATAGAAAAGATACATGGAAGCTATGTTACGGCAGTAGGAAACTGAATGAAGCTGAGATGCCAGGTCAGGACTAATAACATTGCAGATTCTTCGTTGTATTTTATCAAGAATCTCTAAATATATAGCATAAGCAGCAGACCAGATGTAGCAGAAATA